CCATGCGATTCTGTGACCTGCCTTAATGGAGGAACTTGCCTTGAAACGTCATCCTTACGTCATAATAATAATAATAATAATAATAATAATAATCAATATTTCCAGTATCATTATCATCATCTGTATCGTCATCAATACTATTGCCTTTGTAAGGACGGATATATCGGTGAGTGAATGAGTGAATGTTTCGATCTGTTCATCTGGTTTGCTGTGAAGTTTTCAAAGGCAGTATTATCATTATCATTATTGTCGTCGTCATCATCATCTTTGGCATCACTATAAATACCGCCATCGTCATCATCACCGTCAGGTCAGAACTGTGGCCAGCACTTGAAGCACGCCAAATGTCCAGATGATCATTGCAACGGTCGAGGGAGTTGTTATGACGTCACAACATCGTCATCATCATCGTCATCATCATCATCACCATCATCACCATCATCGTCATCGTCATCATCACCATCATCACCATCATCGTCATCATCATCGTCATCGTCATCCAAACAGAAACTTTGCTCTTGTCAACTCGGATACATCGGGGATAAGTGCCAAGGTATTTTGTGATTTATGATACTGAATTATTGACGTCATCATCATCATCGTCTTCAACATCATCATCAACATCGTCATCATCTTTATCATCAACATCGTCGTCAACATCATCATCATCAACATCATCAGCGTCATCTTCGTCGTCGTCATCCTCATCGCCAATGAGTTACGATTTCAGCAGCTCTGATTATGTCCAGTGGAGTTTAACTGATAATATTGCAAAGTCATTTTCATTCCAACTCTGGTTCATGACTCGAAAATTGAATGGTAACTATGATGATGAAGTTGATGACGATGATGATGACGACGATGATGATGGTGATAGTGATGATGATAATGATGATGTGTATGTGTGTGTGTGTGTGTGACGATGATGGTGATGAATTTTTGGTGCTGTTGATGACGTCATTGTGACGTCAAAATTTTATTCACAGGCCTTTTACTCTACGGCTCTCAAGATGTCACATTGGTCTATAGTTCTGGAGCTTGCAGCAGCAAAAACAACAACAACAACAACAATAATAATAAAAATAATAATATTAATAATAATAATAACAATGGCATAAACCCGTCTGACTGTACTAAACTCAATAGTAGTAGTAGCAGCAGCAGTAGTAGTAGTAGCAGCAGCAGCAGCAGTAGTAGCAGCAGTAGTAGCAGCAGTAGTAGTAGCAGCAGCAGTAGTAATAGTAGTACTATTAGTAATAGTAGTAATAATAATAAAAACAATGGCGATTTTTTCTACTTGCTGATAAGCAATGGCTACCTAGTGATGTGCTTCAATCTAGGCGATGAAATTGTCAACATCACGTTCGTTAACATTATTATTATTATTAATTATTCATATTATTATTCATATTATTATGATTATTAATATTATTTTTATTTTTTTTATTATTATAATTATTATTATTATTCTTCTTATTATTATAATTATTATTATATATAATGATTATTATAATTATTATTATTCTTCTTATTATTATTTTTCTTTTTCTTCTTATTATTATTGTTGTTATTATTATTATTATAATTATTATTATGTATAATAATTATTATAATTATTATTATTTTTAATATTATTCTTATTATTCTTATTATTCTTCTTCTTATTATTATTATAATTATAATTATTATTCATACTCTTATTATTCTTATTCTAGATCCCAAGTGCCCGTTACAAAGTACACCTGGCATAGGGTCATCATTCAGAGACACTTGAAGACCTCGACCTTGACATTGGATTTTTGGCCGGAGGTCAAGGTCGTCGGAAGCGGTGCCTATGAAGAACTGAATGTGCCCATGTTCATTTTCATCGGCGGGCTTCCGTCTACCGGGAAAAATGAGAAAAAACTCGGTGGGGGTTGTGGTTCTTGGGGCGGCGAATTCCGGGGGTTTGATGGTGTCATAAAGAGGGTGGGTTTTTGTTTTTGTTGACGTTGATGACGTCATTTCATCGATTGCAATGGTGATAATAACGTTGTTAATACTTTTAATTTATAAATTCAACGATTTTATTCTCGTAAAAATTTTACAAAATTTTCAACCACAGTTTTACGAGAAAACCCACCACCACTTCAACATACTCACAAGAGCTCAGGGGCACACACCCTTAAGAGTTTACCCCAAAGGTGAAAATTTTTGTAAGGGGGATGGTGACGATGATCCTTGCAAAAATAATGGTAGGTGTGTTGAATTGCTTCACGGCTATTATTGCTTGTGTGTTGGGGATTTCTATGGAGCCAATTGCGACCAATGTAGGTCTTATTGTTTCATTCATTCAATCATTCATTCGTTCGTTCGTTCGTTTGTTCGTTCGTTCGTTCATTCATTCATTCATTCATTCATTCATTCATTCATTCATTCATTCATTCATTCATTCATTCATTCATTCATTCATTCATTCATTCATTCATTCATTCATTCATTCATTCATTCAGTATCAAGG